GATGTAAAAGGTCTTTGTAGCAGAATGCAGGTGGCTAAGTCATTTAGAGAGTGTCCTTTCTGGTTAAAGTGGCAAGAAACTGTTTTCTCTTTGTGATCTTGTCTGATATCTGTTTTGTGGGCATTAATCCTTTGGCGAAGTGTCTGAGATGTTTGTCCAATGTACATAGCAGACGGACACTTTCGGCACATGATAGCGTAGATTATATTTCTGGATGCGCAGGAATATGTGTTCTTGATCTTATAACTCACTTGGTTAGGTCCAATAATGGTATCAGCAGAATGAATATGTGGACAAAGCTGGCAACGGGGTTTGTTGCAAGGGAAGGTACCAGGGTTGGTATTAGTGTGGTATGTCCTGTGGTGGTTGGTAAGAATCATCTTGAGGTTAGGTGGTTGTCTATAGGAGACTATGGGTCTGTCTCCCAGAGCCTCTTTGAGTATGGTATCCTGTTCCAATATAGGCTGTAGTTTATTGATAATGTGTTGGACAGGTTTAAGTTGGGGGTTGTAGGTGATGACAAGTGGTGTTCTATTGTTGGTTTTCTTGGGTCTGTCTTGAAGTAGATGGTTTCTAGGTATTCGTCTGGCTCTTTCAATTTGCTTTTTTGTTTCTCTGGGTGGGTAGTTGAGATTTATAAATGCTTGGTAGAGATCCTGAAGCTTCTGGTCTCTGTCAGTGGGGTTAGAGCAGATGCGGTTGTATCGAAGGGCTTGGCTATAGACGATGGATCGTGTGGTGTGTTCTGGATGGGAGCTGGATGCATGTAGGTAACTGTATGAGTCAGTGGGTTTTCTGTAGAGAGTGGTGTCTAATTTTCCATTGTTGATTTGTACGGTGGTGTCCAGGAAGTGGATCTCTCGTGTAGAATGGTCCAGGCTGAGGTTGATGGTGGGGTGTAGGTTGTTGAAATCTCTGTGGAATATCTCCAGTGTTTCTTGGCCATGTGTCCAGATCATAAAGATGTCATCGATGTACCGTAGGTAGAGGAGGGGTGAAAGGGGACGGGAGTTGAGGAAACGTTGTTCTAGGTCAGCCATAAAGATGTTAGCATACTGTGGGGCCATGCGTGTACCCATGGCTGTGCCGCTGATCTGGAGGTATAAGTTGTTCTCAAACCGGAAATAATTGTGGGTGAGAACAAAGTTACATAGGTCTGCTATCAGGTTGGCAGTAGTGTCCTCTGGGATAGTGTTTCTAATTGCTTGTAATCCGTCTTCATGTGGGATGTTGGTATATAGAGCTTCTACATCCATGGTGGCAAGGATGGTATTATTGGGGAGGTTATCGATGTTTTGTAGTTTCCTTAGGAAGTCAGTAGTGTCTCGGAGATAGCTGGGGGTATTGGTTACGAAGGGTTTGAGAAGAGTGTCTACATAGCTGGATAGACCAGTAGTGAGCGTGCCAATACCAGAGATGATGGGACGTCCGGGGTGCCCAGGTTTATGGATCTTGGGAAGTAGATAGAACAATCCTGGTCGGGGGTCAGAAGGTGATTCTGTGAGGATTTGTTCCCGAGTAGCTGTGGGGAGGCTTTTAAGGAGACAGTGTAGTTTCTTTTGGTAGTCCAAGGTGGGATCAGAGGGGAGAGGTTTGTAAAATGTGGTGTTCGAGAGTTGTCTGGTTGCCTCCTGGTTATAGTCGGCCTTATTCATAATGACCACAGCACCCCCTTTGTCAGCTGGTTTGATTACAATGTCCAGGTTGTTTTTGAGACTCTGGATGGCATGGTGTTCAGCGCGGCTAAGATTGTGTGTCGCTTGTTGTCGTTTGCGAATAATGTCAGTCTGTGCGTTGTTGCGGAAGCTGTGTATATTATCAGGATGTGTTAATTTTACACAAATGAATACATTCTTATGAAGCTCTTTGTATATTTGTAAAACAGTAATATTAACTAACCAAAATAACCTCTTATCAAATTAATTAACAAAAGATCATCAGGAAGTGTTCTGTGGTTTGCTAAGGCCACTTTGCATAAGCTTAAAGTGGCCAGAGAAGACCCATGGAAAGGAACTCTCCAGAGTAGTAGAATAGTAGTAGAATAGTTCATATTAGGCTGCGTCTAGACTGGCAAGTTTTTCCAGGAAAAACTTGCCAGCTGTCTACACTGGCTGCTTTGAATTTGCGCAAGAACACTGACGATCTAATGTAAGATTGTCAGTGTTCTTTCGCAAATACAATGACTCTCTCGTTCGGGAAAAAGCCCTCTTGCGCAAATGCTTTTGTGCAAGAGGGCCAGTGTAGACAACTGAGAACTGTTTTGCGCAAAAAAGCCCCGATGATGAAAATGGCGATCGGGGTTTTCTTGCGCAAAAGAGTGTCCAGATTGGCACGGACGCTTTTCCGCAAAAAGTTCTTTTGCGCAAAAGTGTCCTTGCCAATCTAGATGCTCTTTTCCACAAATGCTTTTAACTGAAAAACTTTTCCGTTAAAAGCATTTCCGGAAAATCATGCCAGTCTAGACGTAGCCATTACTGTTTTAAATCCAATGAGGGCAGCACTGTCTTCTGTATTAATAACTTTTCCATGCTCAGTGTAAGATGATGGGGGTGAGCAAAATGGGAGGAGGGAAATTTGTTGTATAGTTAAGGTCTGAAGTACCCAGTCTTCTACTGTCCGAAGACCCGAGGGACTTTTTGCAATTGGTGAAGTGAGGGCTGTTTGTGTGGAGCACTAACTTGAGCTAGGCTTAGGCAATTGTGAATTAGGGTACAAAACCCCACTGTATGTGGCAGCTCCTCTACTCCGAGTGCAGCTTGGATAAGTGGAGAATCAGGGCCCTAGGATTTACCATGCTAGAAGAAACACTTAGTATGATATCCTGCTCCTGGTACTGGCCAGTACCTGATAGTTAGGAGGAAGGCCACACCTTCTCTCTCATGTCATATTGCACAGACAGTTGGGCAGAACTATACATTAAAGGAAAAGTTTTTCTTGACCCTCAAAAGCAATCTGTTTAAATCCTGAAAAAAAGAGATATGATACTACTTTCAAATATTACTACTTCTGTACAGTGCGTCAGTGAGGGATTTCCTGAGGAACACTCAGCTGCCCTCATCCATTTTTAGTAGAGCTCACTTTCATTTTCTCCTTTCTTTTCAAGATTTTCAGAAGTAACTTGATTTTAAGTGCCTCCACCTTTTTATTGTAACGCCAGAGCCACCTTAAAGAAAACTGAGTTTTAGAAAGTGCTCAGAGTCCATCCCTGAAAATCAGGCCCAGTTAAGATGTCTCATTCTAAGAAGCCAAAGTCACTAGTCACTTTTGAAAATCTTGGCTTTAGTCTATAATCCAAATCGATGCTGTTGTACATTTAAATTAAAGTGTGTATTTTGTGTTTTACCTGTACTGTCATCTATGGGAAAACTCTTGCCTCAGAAATTATAAAGCTAACACCAGGCATCACTGTATTGTTACATAGTAATTTTAAAGGCTTGTGAATAGTTCTATGATATTTTTAAAAATCAGTAAGTATTTTCCGTGGAGAAAATGTGAAAGCTAAATTGAATCATGTTTTAAATACATAAGTTTTACAAATGACAATAATGACAAATCTACAAATCTGTTTTAAAATAAAACATGAAAAATCAGAGAGGGTTACATTGCTCCCTTTTAGGCATGATTCTGAGTAAGGGGTGACACATAGCAATGCTATTATACCCTTTTTGGAGTGTTACATGCTCCTCTCAAATGCTCTGCTAGCATTGTTGGCTATTGCTGGATGGAATTAGATGCCTGGTTCATCCCATTTAGTCACAGGTAAAGTCAGAGGTGTCCAGTAATGTTCCTGCTGTGCCAAAGCCACATGTTAGGGAGGTTCTGCATATCTCATAGGTGAGGAGGGCTTTGCTTCCCTTCACTCCTTTGTGTGGCCATGTTGGACCTGGGCATAATCTAGCCCTTAATCTTTTACTTGTCTGATTTGAGGATGTTTTATTTCCTCCGAAAGATTTGTTATCAGTAACAGCTAACACAAGGATAAAGAATACAGCTGACCTTTCCTACTTTTAGGCTACGTCTACACTGCAGGTCTTTTGCAGAAGAGTTCTTGCGCGAAAACTTCTTGCGCAAAAAGTGCATTGCTTTTGAGATGTACTTTTGCACAAGAAAGTATCCACACTGCATGGATACTCTTGCCATGAGAGCACCTGTGCCATCAGAGCAACAGCTGTAGCGCAAAAAAGAGTTTTGCCTTGTAGAAGGAGGTTAACCTACACTACAAAAAGCCCTCTTTTCTGCTGTTTTACTGTTGATTTACTTTCGCAAAAGCACACTCGAGGTGTGGATGCGCTGTGGGTTTTTGCGCAAAAACACTGCAGCGTAGATGTAGGCTAAGTGTATATGATGCCATCAGTCCTCAAAGGAAAAAAGAATCCTGTATTCGGGTTTAAGGGATTTTAAGGCATGCCTTATTATTATGTGAGTTCTGTTAATTTGATAGACTATATTTTTGTACTTACTAAAATATTTAAATTTGCTTTTCACTTCCAAAAGTTTGAGAAGGAGGAGCTATTACCTGATGACTTATTGGAGAATGTTTCAATGTTTGGGGAGCTTCTAAGGAAATGAGAAGAATTACTAGCTTGTCATATTTCCACTCTGAAGAGATGACACAGAATTTGGCTTTGTTATCAAACATTATCGTTAGAGAATTTAATTATTACAAAATAATTTTCCTTTCCAGAATATATAGTATTCTCCATATTTCCATATCTGTTCATGTGCCTTCACAACATAGACATAGTATGAAAAAGGATTGTAAATCAATCTATTGTGACATCTTAGAGATTCTAAGTAGATCTATATTTCTATAAATTAGTTCCAGATTTTGTTAAAAAAAAAAGCAGCACTGCATAGACAAAATATCTTTACACAAAGAAAATGGTGTACATGTGTATAGTGTTATAAAAAATGCAGCTTTGTCTTTGTCTCGTCTTGTGTATCAATTCTGTGTCTTTTTAAAATATACCTTTGAATATAATTTTCCAATCATATTGCAGATCTAGAAAAAAATGAACACAAAATAAGCAGAAGTAAGCAACATTTAATAAATGCTTTGAAGACTAATCCTTCATTAACTAAAGAATTACGAATAGTTTTGGAGCAGACCTTGGTGGAGAAATTGGAATCCTTGGGAATTAAAGCAGTAAGGTTATTTTAAATTATTATTCTTCATTAAATAGTGGAGAAGATCCTTTGTTTCCCCCTTTTCCACTTTCCCCTTCACTTTCCTACCATAACCCTTTGTGGCCATTATGTTCCAATCTCACTCCTGAGAGGAGTCAGAGTGAAATATCCTCATCCTCAAGATCATGTATTTTATCTTTAATGCCCAGTAATTTAAGGTTGGATGTTTCAGTAGTTCTTGTGGGGAAGTTATAGTGGGTGTTTCTGTGCTGTTGTAATATGTGCCTTTATCCAGCGCTCCATAGTAATGTTTATGATTGGGTATACTCACTGCTTGGCTGGGTGTGATACTGCACTCTCTTCTCTCCCTAGTGCCCCTGTTGTCCATTGCCCTCACTGCCTCCGGCTAAGTCACACATATTTGAAATGGATGAATCTCTTCCAGAGTAACAGAGGTCCAGCCATGTCCTTGCTGATTTGCAGCCCTGTCTCTGTGTTTCGGTCTCAGCCCTTTCTAGTCTACCGTCAAATCTGTCTCTGTCCTGTTCAGTAACAGTGCCCCCAGGGCTTTCTCCTTGGAGACTTTGCCTTCAACAGTTCAGTGGTGTCCCAGTTCTTCAGACAGGTTTACTCCTTAACTTCAATCCCCTGCAGGGCGTAACGAAGTTCAACTAATTGTTGGCCTTCTTCGGTGTCTTCAGCTCTCTCCCTGGGTTGTTTGAACTCCCATCCCCTTTCTTGGGCTTCTATTTTAGGCTTATCTGCTCCTTGGGACTTAGGCCATTTCTCCAGCGGCTGGTCAGAGGGATCTGGGCTTGCCCATTACTGAAGGGCCCAATAGATAGATGTCCCCTAGGGTGCTCCACATTAGGTCGGTGCACCCCTGATGAGCCTCAGAACAGAGATTTTGTAGCAGTGTCCCTGGGACCGTGCATGCGTGCACCAGCAGCCGCGTGCTGTTAGGCTGCAGGCATCACGCATGCGTGAGCCCCTCTCCCCCACTCTTCAGTTCCTTCTCTACCGCCTCTGGCTATGGATGGACTCAGCTGTGCTCCCTGGCTTCTTCGCGTCTAGATGACTGTACTTCTTAAAACCAGTAAAATTCATCATAGTAGTTAATTAGCTAGTGAGTTTAAATACTTAACTAGTCAATTACTTCGTTAGTTGAAAAAAAATCTAGATTAGTATAAGGGTTTTTTTCTTTTTCTTCCAGTTAATCCCTTCCTGCAGTCTCTGAGGGTGTGTCTACACTGCCACCCTAGTTCGAACTAGGGTGGCTAATGTAGGCATTTGAACTTGCAAATGAAGCCCGGGATTTAAATATTCTGGGCTTTATTTGCATGTTCCCGGGCACCGCCATTTTTAAATGCCCCATAGTTCAAACTCCCTGCCCGCGGCTACACGTGGCACGGGCTAGGTAATTCGAATTAAAGCTCCTGATTCGAACTACCGTTACTCCCCAATGAGTACTCCTCCAATAGAGACAAACAGCGCGCATGCGCTAAATCGTGCTCTGAGGCAACAGACTTCAAGTTGCCTGCCTCGTTAGCTGCAGCACCATCTGACAATGATATAATTTTGCCGATGCAGCATGAGAGTGTGGCACCGATCACGTTAACAGGCACCTCAGCTGCCACCACAGAGGTGCCTGATGCGGCACAACTGCCCTCTGCACTGAGGCATGATTCAGAGCCTCAGATAGTCTCTGTGCCTCCCACTACGGCACCGACAGCACCTGTTGGGAATTACGCTCAACACAGAAACTTATTAGTCTCATCTACTTTTAACTCACCATTTTTACAAGCTGAGTGCGCTCTGCTATGTTCACATCACAGAAATCACTCTCTCGGGAAAAAATTGCATCTGAATCTGATGACGACTTCTCTATGGGTTTTTTTCACCAGAGAATTCTCCTTACACATGTCAGAGTATTTACTCTTCCAGATTGGGAATATGCCTTCATATAATGGCAATCCCTGGGTACCTCCACCTGAGCCTTATCCCTCCTGCCAATACTGGTACAAATGGCAATATTATCACAAATACCAGCATGGCCAGAAATGACACAGAGTGCAATATTACCGCTTCAAATACAAGAAGGTGATCCACTCATGCAGGAGAAAGTACCCCTCCTCCCCCGAACCAAATAACCTCCCTCCAATGGAGGGAGGGTCTCTGGCCCCAGCTTCAATGACTTCAGATGATGCTGCACAGTTCTATGACCTTTTTAAACGTGTAGCTGCGGAATTAAACATTCCTCTCCATGAGGCTGTGGAAAATCAGCACAAGCTAACAGACAAACTGCACTTAGTAACACCATCAAAAATACCATTTCCAATTAATCCAGCAATAATGGAACTGGCAAAGATGGTGTGGCAAACTCCAGCGTCGATCTCTTCGACAGCTAAGAGAACCACTAAGAAATATTATGACCCACCCAAGGGTTCTGAATTTCTTTTTCTCACTCAGCACCAAATTCCCTTGTGGTGGAAGCTGCATAAGTAAAATCCAAGCGGCAACAATACCGGTCTACCTTATCGGACCACGATAGCAAAAGGCTTGATGCATTCCAGCGCAAGATATATATACATCTTCCACTTTACAATTTCGCATTTCGAATTACAGTTTTATTGGGCAAATACGATTACAAAAATCATACGATTGCAAAATCGGCATTACAGGCCATCTTAGATGCTGCTGACACGGCTGCACATTTTACAGCAACAGTGGTAGTAATGAGGAGGGCATCATGGTTTAGCTCCATTCCATTCCCTAGGGAAATTCAATCTACAGTAGAAGATCTGTCTTTTGACAGCCAGAAGAAATTCTCCACTTCATGAAAGATTCCAGAATGACGCTTCGGTCTTTGGGGATCCACAACCAAGTACGTAGAAGAAGGCAGTATAGGTATCAGCCCTACCCGAGTCCTCGATACGTCCCATATTCACAACACTACAATAGACAAGACCAGCAGGAACGTAATAAAGGCAGAGGCAGAAACCAATGACGACGCCCTTCCTCTATCAATTCCCATCAGTCACAGCAGTCCAACAAGCAAACTTGATCATCAGATCGAGGGTCTGGAGAGCCTCTCATCTATTCCAAAGCCATTGACAGAAGCAAATCTCTTCTAGCATCGATTGTGGCCCTTCTTTAATAACTGGCAACATATAACCTCTGATAGATGGCTCCTGCAGATAATTGGAAAATGCTACCTTTTGTGTCCATACCCCGTTTGCACCCCCGTCCCCCGTCCCTTCTCAGGGACCACTATGACAAGATCCTTCTTCAACAAGAAGTAGAGCACCTCTTACACATAGGGGTGATTGAACCAGTCCCCACACAGTTTAGGATGAGGGTAGGGTGAGTGAGGCTTTAGAGAGGGAGTTCTCCAGGTAGAGAAGAAGCAGATACGTGTGTTGTGTTTGGGGCTTTCTTGCTCTGTGCTGAGCTTGTGTTTGTGAGTGAGGGTTGGTGTGTGTTTTATGTTTGTTTGTTTGTTTATTTATTTATTTATTTTCCCCTGTGTTTGAGAGAGGCTTTTTTTTCCACTTCCCCTTTGCCCTCCCCCTCCCCTTGATGGATAGTAGCCTTCAACTTCCTGAAGGGAGGTTCAAAAGAGGATGGAGAGAGGCTGTTCTCAGTAGTGACAGATGGTAGAACAAGGAGCAATGGTCTCAAGTTGTGGTGGGAGAGGTCCAGGTTGGATATTAGGAAAAACTATTTCACTAGGAGGGTGGTGAAGCACTGGAATGGGTTACCTAGGAAAGTAGTGGAGTCTCCATCCCTAGAGATTTTTAAGTCTCAGCTTGACAAAGCCCTGGCCGGGTTGATTTAGTTGGAATTGGTCCTGCCTAGAGCAGGGGGCTGGACTTGATGACCTTCTGAGGTCTCTTCCAGTTCTATGATTCTATGAGTTCTACTCCCATTACTTCTTAACTGCAAAAAGGTCAGTGGGCTGGAGGCCCATTCTAGACCTTCGAGCCATCAATAAATTCAGAAACAAAACTCAAGATGGTAATGCTTGCTACCATATTACTGACATTGACACAGGATGATTGGTTCTTCTCCCTCAACTTGCAAGATGCATACTTTCACGTTGCCATCCACCCTACTCACAGGTGTTTTTGTTTTCTTCATTTCGTTGTAGAGTCTCAACACTACCAATACAAAGTGCTTCCATTCAGACTCTCTATTGCCCTGAGGGTTTTCTCAAAGGCGCTGTTGGTTGTCACAGCATACCTAAGGCAACAAAGGCTACGTCTATACTACGATCCTCTTCCGCAAGAGAAAATGCAAAAGGAGTGCTCATTTGCATATGTCATGCTATTATTTGCATTTCTTCCTCAGATCCCTTTTGTGCAAGAGGTTTTTGCACAAAAAGATCGCTGTGTAGATGGCTCCTTTTTGCACAAAAACTCCCTTTTGCACAAGAGCCATTCTGCCTCATTTTTTGTATACATCTCAAATTCCTTCCCAAAGTACAATCATCCTTCCACATCAACCAGACAATGCGTCTTCCCACCTTTTTCCCCGAACCACATGCCAACTCTTTCAAGATGAAAATGCATAGTCTTGACCTGCGCAGAGCGCTCTCTTTTTATCTGCAGCGAACAAGACCGTTCCAATTGTCTCCCAGACTATTTGTTTCTATAGCAAACCACAATAAGGGCCGGGCTGGCTCATCACCGAGATTCTCCCATTGGATTGCAGATTGCATCAGACTTTGCTGCACACAGTCAGACATGCTACCTCTAGAGACCATAAGGGCACACTCAACCAGAGCCATGGCTACCTCTATAGCATTCCTCTGTAAGGTACCCATAAGAGACATCCGCGTAGTTGCCATGTGGTCCTCCAACCACTCATTTCCAAAGCACTACGCACTTACGCAGTAAGTAGGAGGGGGGGACTCGCGCATGCGCAATGCCTGCAGCCTAACAGCGTGCGACTGCCAGTGCATGCGTACGCGGCCCCAGGGACACTGCTACAAAATCTCTGAGGCTTGACAGTGATGCACCAACCTAATGTGGAGCACCCATGGGGGGACACATGTCAAAGAACGACAGTTGCTATCGAGGTAAGTAACTGCTCTTATGATTCCTCTGCTTGGTTGCTGCTGCTGTTCTCTTCTTGTGTTCTCTATTTCCTTGTTTGAGTGAGGTATCTCTTGGGTAGGGTTACCACCTTTAAAATGCAAAATTCCCTAGCAAAACCCTCTCCAGTCCTCTGGGCAAGCCCACCACAATTCTAACCCCAACTACAAGGCAACCCCACAAACTCCCCTGCCCCCATAACAGCCACTTACAGCATTTAGGCTATGTCTAGACTGCAGGCTTCTTTCGAAAGAGCCTCTTTCGAAAGATCGCGTCTAGACTGCAGGCGGATCTTTCGAAAGAGCAATCCGCTTTTTCGAAAGAGAGCACCCAGCGAGTCTGGATGCTCTCTTTCGAGGAAGCCCTATTTACATTGAAGAACGCTTTCTTTCGAAAGAGGAACTTTCGAAAGAAGGCGTTCTTCCTCGTGAAACGAGGTTTACCGCCATCGAAAGAAAAGCCGTGTTCTTTCGAAATAATTTCGAAAGAACGCGGCTTGAGTCTGGACGCAGGGGAAGTTTTTTCGGGAAAAGGCTACTTTTCCCGAAAAAAACCCTGAGTCTGGACACAGCCTTAGAGAGAGAACACATAGATAAGATTGGTAACCTTGCCTGTGAAACGAGGTGTACCGGTAGTTCGGAATAGGCACCCTAGTCCGAACTACCTAGTTCGAGCCCCGTGTAGCCGCGCTGCACGGGGTTCGAAGCAGCGGGGATTTAAAAATGGCGGCTCCCCGCTTATGCTAATGAAGCCCGGGAAATTCAAATCCCGGGCTTCATTAGCAAGTGCGGTATGCATACATTACCCCGCTAGTTCGAACTAGCGGGGTAGTGTAGACATACCCTCTGAGACAAAGAAAAAGAATCCAAAATTTATTATTTTGAAAAAAAAATCATGATACTGAGGCCAGACTTATGGTTTTTAACACTTTGAGTTGGCAATACTGTATAAAAGACTCTGTCTCATTTTGTCTCCACCTGTGATCTTTTTTCTCACTATCTTCTTTCTTGACATCCTGTTTGTATTCCACTCCCACTTTTGTCTTTCACTTTTTTCTGTGGGGAACTTACCGTAGCACTTCCTCACTCTTCTTATGTGCTAAATAATCTTTTCTTTCAAATTGTCCTTAAATTGCAATTCTGCAAAACTCAGTCAGTGGTGTTTTCTGAATGGTAAAGTATGTGATTTTCTTACAGTTTGAGCAGTCACACAGTTCATTTTATGTGTGTAAATTCCACTGTCTGTGTATGAATTGGATTGTGGATAATCCTTGGATCATGGATGTAACATCATCATGTTGTATGTTCACACAGTACCAAGTACACTGATGGTATTCAGTAAATAAATAGTTTTAGCGGTATAAATATGTGAGGACCGTCCTTTCCATAAGGTTCATTAGACTATGGAATCAAGAATTGTTTTTGACTTCCATCTTTGTACAATATATGGGAAACGTGTCTCAGCAATTATCAAATGTTGTTTTCTGAAAGATTTCTGTGTCTTTTTCTTAAGAGAATTGAGTTGCCCTTCACATATATATTAGCATTCTGTACTAAATGACAATAGACTATGTTCTAATAATGCATTGTTTATAAAACAGCTGTGAAGCCTCTACAAAAAGTATTTTACAATAGATAGATAGATAGATAGATAGATAGATAGAGCAAAGTATTGTTTTCTGTTTGTAATGTAAAAGGTAATCAGAAGCTGACAAATAGGCATTGATGATGGCACTGCTGATGGAGCAAGAGTATAGAAGGTGATGTGGTAAAAGCTGAAGGAGAAAAGAAGAGATAAAATTATGCACGGCCTTGAAGGTGTGAGGAAAAAAGGTTTAAATTAGATGCAGTAAAGAAGGCTAATATAGTGCATTTTTATGTTAATTATACTGTCCATCAAACACTGACTTGTGTTATTTCTTCAGGGTGTTCGTGGTATCCCAAGTGACTTCTTAAACAAAATCTTAATTTCTGTTGAATCTGCTCGAGAAGAGAAAGAGAAAGAAGTGCCTGACATTCAACTAATTCGAGAACATCTTGAACGCCAAGTCAGCTTCAGGATTGAGGAGAGATCATCATCATCTTGTAACAGGCTTGTTTCCAGCTCTCGTCTGCCTTCTAAAGGTTGATATTTCAGATTTATTTTATTTTACTGATACCAGGTTTTATGAAATAGTTCTGTTTTTGTACTTTAGTCCCTAAAGTAGACGTTTTGTTTATAGATTTATTTCTGGTTGTGTTTGTAATCTTTTACATAAATAGCAGAGTTTTAGCTGCTAACTACACTACAATGTTTAAAAGATGCTCTACTTTTTATTTAATTACAGAAACAATGGCTGCTTTTTCTATAGCCACAAGTTCACTTTAAGATTTCTGATGAGCAACAACATCTACATTTCTTTTGAATGTTCAGGTTGATAACATAATTTATTTTCTAGATAAACAGAAAATGGTTCATGTGGCAACTTCCTCATTAACAGTGCAGCCAAAACCAGCAAAACGGACTTCTACAACTGTATGCCTAGCTGGACAAAGAATGACTGCTGCTGAGAATACATCTACACCAAAGTAAGAGAGAGAGCACTTTCTTAGCACTTATTCCATAAATAACTCATTAGTGTTCTTCTGATAGCATTATGGATTTATTCTTCCTTTCATATATAAGGGTATGTCTGCACTACCACCCTAGTTCAAACTAGGGTGGTTAATGTAGGCAACTGAAGTTGCAAATGAAGCCCGGGATTTAAATATCCCAGGCTTCATTTGCATCTTGCCGGGTGTCTCCATTTTTAAAGCCCCGGTAGTTCGGACTCCATGCCCATGGCTACACGCGGCACGGAGTAGGTAGTTCGGATTAGTCTCTCTAATCCGAACTACCGGTACACCTCGTGGGCACGGAGTCCGAACAACCAGGGCTTTAAAAATGGCGGCGCCCGGCAAGATGCAAATGAAGCCCGGGATATTTAAATCCCGGGCTTCATTTGCAACTTCGGTTGCCAACATTAACCACTGTAGTTCAAATTAGGGTGGTAGTGTAGATATACCCTAAGAGAGTTGATATGAACATTTGTGGCTGGTTTTTAATGGGAATTATCCACACAGTTACTGTTTTATATGTGAAGGAATAGATTTCTCACTGTATATGTAGTTAGTTTACAGTTGTATTCTAGAAGTAACTTGTTTTGTTTCATATAGACCCGGGAAGCATGTTTTTCTAGACGGGGCTTCCAGAAAAACATCTAGCATTGGGTAAGTTTGGCTGATTTCTGGTCTTAAAGAAATTGTTTTCTGGTGAACTTCCCTTTACTGGATATTGAAATGGCTAGTATACAATTTTTTAAAGTGAAATCCATAGTTTTGTATTAATCATATGTTTTTGTCTTAAAATCTAATTCCTATTGAGTCCATTGTCATAATCCTAACTGAGGCCATGTTCTGATTTGAGCGAGTGTATTCTTAATAATTGAGCAGGCAGAGTATTTTGTACCAGAGAGTGATATCACTTTTTTATCTATCCCATATTAAATTTTGGTCTATTGAAATATTATTTTTTTTAAATTGCTAATTTTTGTTGCATTTTGTCAACATTTTTCTAGTACCGTGGTCACCAACCCATCGATCACGATCGACTGGTCGATTGCGAGGCCTCGACAAGTCGATCGCAAGGCGTTCGGGCAACCCCGCCCCCCATTTTCCCTCCACCCCCCGAGAAGCCCCACTACTTACCTCTAGTGTAGTGCCGGCTTCCCGCGGGGTGGACAGAAGTCCTCTCTGAAGCCCGCGTCACTTCCGGGGGTTCCGGAAGTGCGCGGGCTGCTCGCCCTCCCGCAGCTCTGTTGCGTACTGGGGGAGGGGGCGTTGGCCCTAGAGGAGGAGTGCCGAGGCTTCCCTGCGCTGCCGGCGCCGGAGGGGTGAGTTGGGCGCAGGGGTTTCCCTGCGCCGCGGGAGCGGGAGTCGGCCCCGGGGTTTGGCCGCGCTGTGGGAGGAAGGGAGTTGGCCAGGTCGGGCCGCGCCGTGGGAGGGGGGTTTGACCCCAGGGCAGGCACCCGTGGGGGTTGGCCATGCTGCAGAAGGAGGTTGGCCGTGCTGTGCCGCGGGAGGGGGGTTTGGTCCCGGGGCAGGTGCCCACGGGGGTTGGCCGTGCTGCGACGCCACAGAAGGGAGGTTTGGCCCCGCCGCGGGAGGGATGGGGGTTGCCCCGGTGCAGGCTCCCGTGGGGGTTTGGCCCTACCGCGGAATGGGGGGGGTTGCCCCCAAGGCAGGCTCCCGCAGGGGGTAGCCCAGGGGCAGGCATGCTCGGGGTTTCCCTGCGCCGCGGGGGCCCGGAGGAGGCATGTGCTGGCTTCCCGCAGGAGGGGGGGGAGGGAGAGAGAATCCTGGGAGGAGGCAGATGCAGGTGACTCTGCTGCCACTGGCACCCTGTCCCCGCTCCCCTGTTCCCACCCCCTTTCCCCGAACTCTGTCCCCACTCCCCTGTTCCCATCCCCTTTCCCCGAACTCTGTCCCCACTGGCACCCTGTCCCCTGCTGCAGAACCCTGTCCTCTGTCCTCTGCCCTCCCAGCACCCTGTTCCCTCTCCCCTGCCCCCAGCCGCAGAACTCTGTCCCCACAAAATGTATAATTATAAATGCTTCATTTTAGATTTAAATAGCATGAATAAAAAACAGACCATTTATTTCATAACTGTAGACACATGGTTTTAATTTTATACATCGCATCATTTAAAAATAAACTGTTTATCAGTGTGTAAGTAAGGGTTGGGGATAGCAAATGATGGACAGAAGGAGAATAGAGAGGGCGGGGCTTCAATGAAGGGGCGGGGCTTCAATGAAGGGGCAGGGCTTCAAGGAAGGGGCGGGGCAGTAGATCTTCGCCTGTTCGGAGATTTAAAAAGTGATCTTGGGTGTAAAAAGGTTGGAGACCACTGGGCTAGTATATACATAATTGAACACAATATTCTAGATGCTTTTCATGTCATGCATATCATCTTGTACTGTGTTAATTGTTTAAGCTAGCTGTTTGTCTCGATACCATTCACGATACTAAGCTTGATTTATAAAGTCCTAAATAGATTGGGTACTCGTTATACCAGAGTTCACTATTCTGTGGGTACCCATTGAGGAATTGAGATTTATTAGGAAGTTGCTGCTAATAGCTCCTGTATTTTTTTAACTGGAAAGAACCAGGAGCAGAATTTTCTTAGTGGAATATCTTGGAATGTCTTTGTCTTTGGATTTTGCTTTCACTATTGATTCATGAAAGCACATCTTTGTTGATCTTGCAAGGCTGACTATATATTCTGACTTTTAGTTTTGGGATGATATTTGTATATGAGGTTATAAGGACATTGACTTTGAGATGATTTGGGGCTTTCAGTTTGTTATTAAATAACTTCATATTTTTAAGTAGTTGCATATGAACTCCACATTATAGTAGTTTTTTTTCTCAAATAGAAAATGTGTACATTTATTGGAAAAAATATAGGAAGCTCAAAGTTATGCACATCTGTTTAATACTGAAACCCATTAAATCCTCGTCTGATACACTTTTTTGTTTCAGCACTCCACCATTCAGCTCAGAGGAGGAAGTAGATGATGATGATGATATTATGCACGCTTACATATCACCGGAATTACTAAAACCCAAAGCATCCAGAAACAGCACGAATAATTGTGGGATGGTTACAGGCAAAAGCGAAAAGGACTGGACTGAAGAAAGTGAAATGAGAGAGACTGAAACACCTTCCAAGCCTTCAAAAGGTTTTTTTCATTATTTGTGTATATGAGTTATAATTTAAGGCAAATATGTATAAATAATTTTAAAGTACCTAATAGGTGATAAAATCAATGTTACAAAACACTCTAAAGCTGGAATATACATTATTGCATTTATAGTTCTCTATGTAACGTCATAATGTATTGTTCTTTTATTTTTATTAATATTACTGTAGTATTCAGGGGCCCCAATTGAGATCAGACCCCAGTTGTGTTGTGCACTGTACGAATGCATATGTAACCATCAGCCAGGCTTTATTGACAGCAACAAGGGTCAGATCTAAGGGTTTCATTGAACGTTACAAACACAGTGGGCGTTTGAGCCCATATCCAGAAGTCTTGGAAAACTCTTGGTGCCCTGAAGAGGTCATACTAACACACTTGCAAGCACTGAGCTTGTGACTAGCAAAAGAAAATTTCTGCGAGAGCACCACAATAGTGATTCAAATCATACATAAATACCCATCCCATGCTATTTTCTGCAGTTGTCTATTGCCTCAGTTCTCCACTTTGTGGTATGAAAGTCCATGGAATGAATGTCCCTTTAACACACCACTCCTCTTTCCATCCGCTGCACTCAACTCACATCTGATTGTCCAAAGTCAGCAAAGTCCCAGAATACAGCAGTCCATTCACTTAGGTTCACCTCCCACTTCTTTAGAAGTGAAGTGTGGTGTCAAAAATGCCTCTGCTGCTACAGCTGTTGATTACTATCATCTGTGCCACTGCTTGCCTATGGTACCTTTGCTGCTGCTTATTACTGTCTATGCCACTGCTTGCTGATACTGCCTACTGCTGCCTCTGTCTCTTTCTGAAATGCTGTGTACTGAGCAGAGAGGAAATCTCTGTGCTGCATCCTCTGTGCTGTAGTTACTTTTATGGGTTATAGTGGTCCACAAGTTGAATATGAGTCAGCAGTGTGATGCTGTTGCAAAGAAAGCAAACATGATTCTGGGATGCATTAACAGGTGTGTTGTGAGCAAGATACGAGAAGTCATTCTTCCGCTCTACTCTGCGCTGGTTAGGCCTCAGTTGGAGTATTGTGTTCAGTTCTTGGCACCGCATTTCAAGAAAGATGTGGAGAAATTGGAGGGGGTCCAGAGAAGAGCAACGAGAATGATTAAAGGTCTAGAAAACATGACCTATGAGAGAAGGCTGAAGGAATTAGGTTTGTTTAGTTTAGAAAAGAGAAGATTGAGGGGGGACATGATAGCCGTTTTCAGGTATCTAAAAGGGTGTCATAAGGAGGAGGGAGAAAACTTGTTCATCTTGGCCTCTGAGGATAGAACAAGAAGCAATGGGCTTAAACTGCAGCAAGGGAGGTTTAGGTTGGACATTAGGAAAAAGTTCCTAACTGTCAGAGGGGTCAAACACTGGAATAAATTGCCCAGGGAGGTTGTGGAATCCCCATCTCTGGAGATATTTAAGAGCAGGTTGGATAAATGTCTATCAGGGATGGTCTAGACAGTATTTGGTCCTGCCTTGAGGGCAGGAGACTGGACTCAATGACCTCTCGAGGTCCCTTCCAGTCCTAGTATTCTATGATTCTGTGACATACCAACTCTTAGACCTGCTCATCAGTGATTTCTGCTCTAGTGATTAGAGCAGAAACAAAGACTCTCAACTGAGTGTGAATATCTATCTTTAAAGGGGGAGAGTCAAGTGGTATATAGGACTCTAAAAGCGGCCACATCAATAGGTTGGAACATCCGTTCCAGCCTCCACCTCGGAATTTGGCGTGGATTTGATATTGCTACTCCCTGCTCAGCAAGTTAGGGTGACCGTTGAACATATTAAGGACAGTTCTGCTACCTTGTAGTCATATAATAATCATAACCATAATATATTTCATTACTCATGTGTCCAAGACGTTTTAATCCAAAGCAGCCAAACATGATTACTTGGGCAAAGCAGATCTATCTGCTGATCACCTAGGCAAAATAGGAGTTAAATTACAGTGTGCCACTATAGTCTTTCTGCCCATATCATCAATAGAGGGTTCTCACTCATGCCCTACTTCCATCTGATATCAAGACAATCCCACCCTTGAAGGGCCTACTGCTGAAAAGACACAACAAAAAGTTGAGGATGAGGTCATGACTGCAGCCCTGTGAAATTCTTATTTTTACAATTGTTTATTTGGTTTCTTTTTGTTTTATTTTGTACTTGCAAAAATCACACTGCTGTAGTCATAGTATACAAGCAAACAAATATAAGGATTAATTGATAGAATTTACTTAGTTACGTGTATTGTTTAGGATCTTTTGCTTTGGTTTTTAAGTTATAGTGTTTAAAATTACATGTTTATAATCATGTGTAGCACCTAAATACATAACCTTATTTTCAAGAGCCACAAAGAGCAATTTAACATAACAAAGAGAAGGTTAAGGCATGATTTGATTATTGCCCATAGGTATTTACATGGGGAATAACTATAATAATGAGCTCTTCATTTTAGCAGAAAAGGACACAATACGCTCCAATGACTAGAGTCTGAAGTGACAAAAATGAATTTGTACTACTTTACTCCTGTTGGCCCTTCAGAGTTAATACAGTAATAGGTGAAGGGGCTGGTGGTGTTTTTTGTTTTTTTTGGTATTATCAACACAATTGTTTACTAAATTGTAATTCAGGAGTCAATCATTTAATTACAGGACCAATTATATACACCTATGCAATCCTATAAAAAGTAGTAAAATTACAGCAGTGTCACAGAGCATAATTTGGCTTGCAGAATTTTTATTCTTGGTGGTGGTACACATGAAGGAAGGAACCCAACTTGACGAACATAGCCTGCAATGAATTTGCAGAGTAGCAGGTTGAAAACAACATTTTTAATTATAAACTGAGCATATTATATGTCCTAATGATCGAGAGACAATAAACATGGAATTTCACTACATTTTGAGTAACAGAGGGGTAGCCGTGTTAGTCTGAATCTGCAAAAGTGCCGAGGAGTCCTGTGGTACCTTATAGACTAACAGATTTATTGGAGCATAATCTTTTGTGGGCAAAGATCCACTTCGCATCTGATGAAGTTGATCTTTGCCCACAAAAGCTTATGCTCCAATAAATCTGTTAGTCTATAAGGTGCCACAGGACTCCTCGTCGCCACTACATTTCTGAATAGAACTGCTGTTGTTGGTTTTGTTTTGTTTTTTGTTTTAAATCTGCACCACCCTAGAAATTAAAAGAGCTAAAAATCATAAATGGTGAAATGTATATTCATGATGTTAATATCTTTCATCCATTAAGATGTGATCAGTCACACAGAAGGGAAGGTATTTTTTAAATATCCTACTTTTAAACTGACAGTATCCCTGTAATTTTTTAAATGATTGTATAGATGCAGTTATTCAAAAGCTAACTGAACAAGTTGAAAAGACTCTTTCTAGCCACGGAAATCAGAATAAGACACCTGGAGGAATTAATGTCACACAGGCATTTATTAAAAAAGAAGATGCACAAGAACTAAAGGTATTACATTATTTGTTAATTAGATTTATCTATACAAAAACATGCTTCAGTTATTATTGTTATTTTTGTTACTGTTTGTATTCCATGTTGGGAAAAGTGAGATTAATCTGTTGCAGTAAAAATGTCATCTCCAAGGCACTTTCAGAGTTTTACATAAGTTGGCTCCTTTTTCTTTACCTATTGTTCCACATATTCACATTTGTTCTGAGAAATGAGATCTAGAAAAGACCTGTTTGATTATGTCATAGGCTAAAGTATTTTTGTTTCTAGGACTTTGTCTGGTACAGAAGTGTCAAGCTCATTTTCTGAAGAGGACTAAATTCCTTTCCTATTATGATCTGTATATTGGTATATATATATATATATATAGGAATACACGCCATGCTCAAACTCTGGCAGATCTGTTAGTGGTATCAGTGTGCTGTGGCATGCAGTGTGTTCAAGCTTCAGATCATTGTCGGTGTTGCTCTTTGCCCTTCAGTCTTTAATCAATTCCAGATACTCCCAGTCATGTTTTGTAGTGGAATGAAAGCTCTGAGATACAATGGTCTTTTTCAACTTGGAGAAGACATCATGACAACGGTTCTGGCAGCTCTAATCTCAGTATTTTTTAAGCTTTCACAAGGGAGATTTACCCTTTCTACTCTCCCAGGGGCTGCCCTTGAGGACAGGTCTCTGGGGCAGTTGCTCCCTGGCAGAGGGCTTGTTCTTCTTCCTCCCTTCCCCTTGCAAGAGAGGAGAGTCTAGCTGGAACAGGGGTTAGCCACTCAGACAGCCCCTGGATAGGGCTTTACAGACTCAGTTTCTGTGTAGACACACCCTTAGGCTTTACTTAAAATTAGCTATGCAGATTGAATTACGTCAATTGTGTAGCTTATTTCAAAATTGGGAGCATCTACACAGCACTTATTTCGAAATAGAGCACTTTTCCTCCTACTTCCCTTATTTCTCATACAATGAGGGTTACATGAGTCGGAGTAAGAAGTTCTCCAGCTTGACAGTATTTTGACATTATTTCAAAGTAACTGCCTGCTGTGTAGACATGGACTACGTTATTCTGAAATAATGTTGTTGTGTAAATGTACTCTTAGGCTACATCTACATTGCGCATTCTTGCTTATTTTCAGGCAGAACGACTCTTGTGCAACAGGGGGGTTTTGTGCAAGAAGGAGCTGTATAAACTGCTCCTTCTTGCGCAAAAATGGCAGCTCATTTGCATATCTTCTTGCACAAAAATGCGCAATGTAGATATAGCCTTAGGCTACATCTAGATTGCAGGCTTCTTGCGCAAGAGATCTTCCGCAAAAACTTCTTGCACAAGAGCACGTCCACACTGCAAAAGCACATCAGAAAAGCAATGCGCTTTTGTGCAAGAGAGTGTCCAGACTGCATGGACACTTTCTCAAGAAAACTCTGATTGCCATTAACAGAATGGCCACCAGGGCACGTGTTCTTCTTCTGATAGGCTGTTTTTGCACAAAAAAACCCTATTTCCCATCCACACACACCTTTTTGCGCAAGAGTTCTTGCGCAAAAAGGAGTTGTTCCTCATAGAAAGAGGAATACCTATACCACAAAAACCCCTCTGTTCTGTCAATTCACTGTAAATTTTCTTGTGCAAAAACGCACTTGACGTGTGGATACACCGCGGGGTTTTGTGCAAAAACAGCCATTTTTGTGCAAAAACCCTGTAGTGTAGACGGAGCCTTAGTATCATGCACCGATGTAGTGCAACGTGGAAGGATGAGACTCAGACCTCTACAAGTCTGGCTGGCTAAGACTGTTTTCCCTATTGCCGTCACCTGGACTCAGTGCTCACAGTTCTGGTACAGGTGCTTGACTTGCTGACATGGTGGCTGGATACACAGTATGCACAGGTGTACTTTTCTCAAAACCCAAGCCATCCTTGTCTCTGGTATGTGAAGCATCATCCCTCAGCTGGGGAGCTCATGTGTGGTCCCTCAGAATTCAGTGTCTTTGGACACAAAAAGAGTTTTCTCTCTGTACATCAGTGTCAAGGTACTCAGGTACATCTAGCCTGCCAGGCATTTCTACCCCACCTGGCAGGCAAATTCATTTCAATCCTCATAGACAATATGGCTGCTATATTCTGCATAAACAGGCATGGCAGAATGTGTTTTTCCCCCATGCCAAGAGGCTGTCTGCCTGTAGGAGCTCTGTATCAAACTCTCCATTGGTCTAGAAGCATCTTACTTTTCTAGGATCCAGAACCAGCTATCAGATTGCTTTAGAGGATCTTTCTCCTTTCACAAGTGGTCTTTCCATCCAGATATTGTGAGGGATATCATCTTACAGATCTGTTTTCCACCCAAACCAAGAGGAAATGCCACGAGTTCTATTCCCTGAAAAGTCACAGCCCAGGGTCTGTTGTAGATTGTAGCCCAGTGGTGCCAAGGGAGGGGCTTCTCCCCCTCTGGGTGAGTGGGTGGCCACTCCTTCCCACTATACCCCACCCAGTTCTCGTGGGGAATCAGCTGTAGCTGCCGGCCCTAGGACAGTCCACAGATCCCCACACAGTCTGTAACTCAAATCTTTATGCACCGGCCCTCGTTCAGGGCAGGGCGACAATAACCCCCAAGACTGTCCTCAGGCCCGACCCTGTTTTCCTGCCGCCCTGCCCTTAATCAGGGACTGGGCATTGAACAAATTTGTCCTCGTAGGCCAGGTTTGCTAAACCATTTATCACTTTTGTTGCTTTCATCTGGTGTCTTTCCAGTTTGACCACATCTTTCCAAAGTGTGATGTGCAGAAGTGAGCACCTCAGTGCCAAGTAGATGGGGCACAGCTTGTCTTTCCCCTGCACTTTCCTGACAGAGCGAGGAATGCAGCAAACTGCCCTTTCCCTTCAGTCCCGGATGAAGGGAAACAACCAGCAGTGTCTCCATATGAATCAGAGGAGGGGGAGCTTCAGTTCTCCTTCCCCCACCATAAAGGACACCTGGGGGGTGGAAGGTTTGGGGGTGGGATAGTTATGGATGGGGAAGGGATGTGTCACCAGCCTGCCCCTTTCACCTGCCAAACTCTTGCCTTAGTTTAAGTTATGATAAGAGGAAGCTGTATATTGAATTTAGTGGTCCTAGCTCTTAGTGTTTAGGAGGAGTTCTTGAACAAATAGTCAAACAGTCAGCCAAATTTTCTCATATATATAATAGATAATGTCTTATAAGTAATATAATCTAATTCTTAATATGATATTTATTAATAATGAATTATTTATTATTATAGTAGTGTCTGTGAATCCAAGTCAAGGATCAGAGTTCCATTATGTTAGGCCAGCTATACCATGAAACACACTTGAGATGCATTATTTTTAAGCTAATATTGTAGTGTGATCTTTGTATCAGGACCACAGTGGTGTAAATGTAGCTTCATACAGTGGAACGATGCTGATTTCCACTAATTTAGCATTTGGCCCTTTATCTTTTGCAGTTTTCCTCATTTTTTTTATTTTTAACTGTACAACACTAACAGTGAGTTAACATCACTTTTTGCATTCAGCATCTTCAGAGGTTAAACGTGCGTGTGTATGTAGGTTTAAAAGGAAACGAAACATAAAAGTAAGGTGCTATGACACAGGACGATACAGCCCTTCATGCATGTGTGCCATGGGACCTTTTAGAAGGGTTATTTCCCCTACAGTTCTAGTTCCCCTTCCTAATCTGCTTGTAAGTCTGAATAAGTAACCTTTAGAACTCCAGAACATTTTAAAAAACACACCTTCCTTAACAAACAAAAAATGCTCATGCTTTTTCTTTTCCTATTAGTTCACAGAAGTTGATGATGATGACTGGGATATATCATCTGTAGAAGAAGAAAATTGTTTATTAGCAAAAGATGGGAGAGAGCAGAAAGGAACTGCTGTTCTAAAGAACAGTGAATCAAATACTGCATCAATGGTACATGCCTGGGGTGTTCCGAAGACAAATCTGCCTAAGGAGGAAGGTAACCTATTTACACATTCACAGCGCTTGAGGGGAAAATAGGATTTGAACACCTGATGTAGTTTAAAAAAAACCTTAAATGTAGTACAGGTTGAATGTCCCTGGGCTGGCACCCTCAGGACCAGAGTGATCCCAAACAAGGGAATTTGACAGACTATGGGAGGTCAGGCGTCTGGGCTGTCCCGGGGTTCCCCTCCTGGCTGCTGTCCTGGGAGAACCAGGAGAGCCCGGACCTGCCTGCCTGCCTGCCTGGCTCTGCTGCCCCCAGCCCTCTCACAGGGCTCTACTGCCTGCTCCGAGTACAGTGGCAGCTGCTTCCAGGGTTCCCTGGCCCTGTCGTGGCGGCAGCTGCTCCTGGCTTTGGGGGCCAGGGTTGGGGAACCCCATGAACAGCTGGGCAGCAGCTGCTCCTGGGGCTCTCTATCCCCAGGTCACTGCCCCCACAGGCTGCTGCTGACAAGACCAGCTCTGCTTTCAGCCGCTCTCCACCTCTGCAACTGGGGCTCTCTGCTCTAGAAACGTCTGTGGTCTTGTCGAACCAGAGATGTTGCCGAACCAGGGATTCCTGGATGAGAGAGGTTCAAACTGAATAAAAATATTTTAGTCACATATCTAATTACAATGGGATGTAAATAGAACTTTTTAAAAAGCTATTTTGTTATAAGTATGTAAAAGAGATGCAAAATTTATTCTAAGATTCCAAGACTCTGAGCAGCTTCAGGCTTATGTGATCTTTTTTTAAATGACCTGCCTGAAAAAAAATGTCTCCTTCCCCTCCAGAACATAGACTCCCCCCTCCAAATTACTCAATTTGGGTGTGTCTACACAGCAGCGTTATTTCAGAATAACGGCCATTATTCTGAAATATCAATGTGAGCATCTACACAGCAATTCTGTTATTTCAAAATAATTTTGAAATAACAGATAGATTATTTTGGAATCTGTAAACCTAATTCCATGAGGAATAACACTTATTGGCTATGTCTACAATGGCGGGTTCTTGCGCAAGAACATCTTGAGCAAGGGTTCTTGTGAAAGAACTCTTGCCCAAGAACATGGCCATACTGACATGTGCTTTTGTGCAAGAGCGTCCATGGCAGTGTGGATGCTTTCTTGCGCAAGAAGCTCTAATGGCCATTTTAGCCATAGGGTTTTCTTGCGCAAGAAACCTCTGCCGTGCGTCCACACAGCCTACTTGCGCAAGAGCTCTTGTGCAAGAGAGCTTACACTTGTTAGAAAAGAGCGTAGCTTTTTCGCAAGAAGCCCTCTCTTACAACGCCGTACTGTAAATCTTCTTGTGCAAGAGCAGGCGGGCAGTGTGGGCGCTCTGCGGAAAAATGGCTGTTCTTGCATAAGAACCCGACAGTGTAGACATAGCCCTTCTGAAATAGCTATTTTGGAATAGCAGTATTGTGGACGCTCCATGGCTGCTATTTCGAAATAGCTCCTCCCCAGGGTCATTCAAAGTAATTACTCCCCACTGCCTCCTGGGGCTCGATTTTGAGGTAGCATGTACACATTAGGGAAACCTGCCTGGGATTAATTTTGAGGCTCCCTGTAGTGTAGACCTGCTATTTCAAAATAAGCTATTTCTGAAAAAAAATCTGAAATAGCTTATTTCGAATAAAGCGTGCTGTGTAGACGTTCCCTTGAGAATAATATTAAATCTTTGACCTCTGGCAGTTTAAGATGATACCTTATGACAGGCTGAAAAGAGAGTTTTATACCTCTGGAAAGGAGAGATTCTTATCTTTCCTGTAGGGGATACAAACAAGTGCGTTTTGTCCTGGACTATCTGTTCCAAGATACCGCACTTTAAAATAGTCATTTTTATGAGTAGAAAAGATATCGTAGGTCATTTTCAGAAAGTCTTAAATCTTAGCACTGATAGCTAGTATACTGTTATGAGGGAGGCAGTCTTCATATACTGGGCTTGACAAATGGCAGCGAAATCTACTCCCCAGCCCCGCACTGCGCATGCGCAAGACCCGCATTGCACATGTGCGCACCACCGGTGAACGGGGTGACTAACTGAAATCTACTCGCCGTGGGCAAGTAGAAACAGTGATTTGTCGAGCCCTGTTCATATATATTTATAATTTTCCTCCTACAGGTGAAATCCCGGCCTAGCTGAAGTCAGTAAAAGTTTTATAATTGATTTCAGTGGGGCTTTCACCCTGTGTGTCATCTGGAAAAAAATGCTGAATCATAATTGGTTGTAGTTTAGGTATCTAATTCATTTTTATTTATTTTGTTCACAGGATTTCATGATGCTGATACAACAAGCACATTAAAAAGCAGCTTAGTTACTGTAACTGATTGGAGTGATTCTTCAGATATATAACTGCTCACCTGTAAATGGCAGACATTGCTGCTAGATTGTAATACAGAGTTAATGACTCTTTCTAAAAGATTCTGACTCCAATTCATTTTTTCCAATTGTACATTTATAAGGAAGATTGTTTACAAAATGTGTGTGTCTTTTAACCTTGAACTGTTTACAAATGATTTACATACATGTAACAGTATTTAGAAACTTGGGGTGAATTTCTAGCCAAACTGAAGCGAATGGCAAAGCTCTCACATACTTCACTGGGGCCAGAAATTCATCCTATTGTTTCTTTGTAAGACTGAAACAAGTTTCTAAAAAATCGCAGAAGCACAACCAGTAAACTGTTTTCTTCAGATTGTTACTTATCAGTATTTTAAAGCCATTTTTAAAGTATATTTTTTCTATTTTATTGTGAATTTTATATAAAAATGTGAACGTTTTAAATAATTTTTTCTTTGTATTAAAATGTTAACATTTCTCAACATGATTTAAAATAAGTGTCAAGGGCTGAAAATGGTATAGCTTACAGATTTGTTGCTGTGTGCCTTGAAACTTAATACTGAGAAAGTATTTCTGCTTTAGTTGTTAGAATAGGTTTTAATGTGTATTCATATAAAACTATAAATTACCTCAGTATAGCTAGAAAACTTGAACAGGAGCAAGGAAGGTACAGACATGGTATTGAATGCTTACATGTATTTTTTGTTTTCATATGCAATAAACTTTTGTTTTTCCAGTTGCGTTTATTTTCCAAATTAGCTACCTTCATAAAAAATAACTCATTTTGAATTTAAATAGTAATAAAATGCTACATTTAAAAAAGCTTGGATGATTAGTTTTGTATTCTAAGATGTGTCATATTTTTATTTAATTACAACATAATACAAACCATTCCTTTTCTATTGAGTTTTTTAAAAACTAGGATTGCTAAAGATATAGGCTACGTCTACATTGGCCCCTTCTCTGGAAGAGGCATGTTAATTTCCAACTTCAGAATAGGGAAATCCGCGGGGGATTTAAATATCCCCCGCGGGATTTAAATAAACATGGCCACCGCTTTTTTTCCGGCTTGGGGAAAAGCCGGAAAAAAGCGTCTAGACTGGCGCGATCCTCCGGAATAAAGCCCTTTTCCGGAGGATCTCTTATTCCTACTTGAAAATATTCCTTCCTTGAAAGTAGGAATAAGAGATCCTCCGGAAAAGGGCTTTATTCCGGAGGATCGCGCCAGTCTAGACGCTTTTTTCCGGCTTTTCCCCAAGCCGGAAAAAAAGCGGTGGCCATGTTTATTTAAATCCCGCGGGGGATATTTAAATCCCCCGCGGATTTCCCTATTCTGAAGTTGGAAATTAACATGCCTCTTCCGGAGAAGGGGCCAATGTAGACGTAGCCATAATGTATATATTTATCCTCTTGACTCCAAAATCATTTCACTGAAACTCTTTGAGGGTACGTCTACACTTGCTCCCTAGTTCGAGCTAGGGATGCAAATGTAGGCGACCAAAATTGCTAATGAAGCGGGGATTTAATTACCCCACGCTTCATTTGCATGATCTCGCCGGCGCGTTGCTCTACTCAACAACTGATTGGAACCAGGAAGTGCGTGCAGGGATGCGTTAGTTCGAACCAAACCCCTTGGTTCGAACTAATAATACTCATTTTTACTCCAAAAAATGAGGAGTAACATTAGTTCTAACCAAGGGGTTTGGTTCTAACTAATGAGTCCCAGCGTGCACTTCCTGGTTCGAATCAGCTGTTGAGCAGAGTAACGCGCCAGTGAGATCATGCTAATGAAGTGCAGGGTATTTAAATCCATGCTTCGTTAGCAATTTTGGTCGCCTACATTTGCATCCCTAGCTCGAACTAGGGAGCAAGTTTAGACGTATCCTGAGGGTCTTCAATTTTTGTTATTTTTGGTGAATTCACCTGTGAGAATCAATACTTCTTAGTACATCAGTGGTCCCAAAACTGTGGGGCACACTCCCTTAGGGGGTGCAGAGGAACATTAAGGGGTTGCAGCAGGACCTAGGCCAACACTTGTGGAGCGAGAGGAGGGAGAACCAGCCAACCCTGCTCTGCCCCCAGTCCACCTTCAGCTGAGGTTTCAGTCCTGGCCCTAGACCCTCGGTCCTCTTTCCCCTGTCTATCCCCTTCCCAGCTCCCAGGGGGTGGTGCTGACAGGGCATGATATGAAATGTTTGGGGACTACTGCAATAAGTAGTGAATGATTTATCCTACACCCACTCCTGCTTCTATTTAAGTCAATGGAAATTTTGCTATTTACTTCAGCAGCAGTAGGTTGTGGTTCCATTTCCTTAGGGTTGCATGGGAAGCAAATCAGGACAGACTTTGGCCTCATTGCTGACATAATCATTTAAAGGCCCTTCTAAACAGGAACCTAGCTTTGCAGACACTTACTTGTGAGTCACCCATATTCTGTGGTCATATCAGTTATTCCATTTGTTTCAGTAGTACTGTTATTGAGAGAAAAACCTAACTCGAATAAAGGATGGCAGGAGGGGCTCCAGCATCCTGAACAATATATTGTAGGTAATAGGGATGTTAATAAATGTTTGTTTCAGTAAATGTGTAACCACTGAAATTTTCAGCAGTTACATGTTTACATGCGGGGCGAGAGGGGGAAGGTGGGGGAGCCTGTGCTCAGGGGGAGTCAACTTTTAAGCTGGTTCCCCATGAGCACTGGCTTCTGCTTGCCCCCAACCTCCAGGGCTGCTGTCATTGTTATAGAGTCAGCCGAGTGGGAGGCAGGTGACCCTGTGGGAGCTGGTACACGAGGGCCCCACGTCCCCCACAAACTGGATACAGTTTTGTGGTGACCTTGAGGCTTTTTTTCGCCACCTCCGCCTCCGAGAATATTTCCAAACCACCAATGAACATCGATCTGACCTACCAGATCCCCCCTATCAACACCAAAGGAAAAATAATTCTATATGG